TAAGTTGTTTCAAGTCAAAATTCAGGGATTGCATCGATAATTAAGAACAAGTTTAGTGACAAAAAGTTATATTTTTCCTTTTTTCTTTCTTCTTATATATGAGAATGAAAAGAGTACCTCTCTTATGCTCAATTTATAAGTGGATGGAGTGCATATGATTACCATGTTGCGAAAGAAAATGCGACCATCTTCGTGTCTATTTGCAGGATAAACCCAAGAGTTGCAAGGGAAGTGAATTTCAGCTTCAAACGGAACATTCTTGAGAAGCAAACTGACTAAGAAGAACTCACTAGGATGCTTGTTCTTGATCAGAAATGCTCCTGGAATCCCCACTTCTTCTTCCCATTCAAAGTGTACTTTGAATTCAGATTTTTCAGCTATCAGATCTGGGGATTAGTAATCCACCCTTCCAGATATGCAGGTTTTCCAATTTTCCCTTTGGCTCCCCTTTCTGCAAAAGTATATAAGGAAGAACATGAATTTTATAATGATGCAGCTCTCAGATATATTTTGTCAACATGTGGTCCTTCATACTTTTTAAGAGTTGAAGTGTTAATTTATCCTTGAACCCTATGGTCATGAGTGTTGTAATATGAGGTTTTTTCCACATTAATAATTTCTTGTATTTCTCTTTGAATTGTACCATTTATTTTCTATTATTTATTTGTTTAATTTTTTCCTCTAGATAATTGCACCACCTATGACTATAGGGTGGGTAGTGCTCCCGAAAAAATCCAGAGATAGATCAGCACTTTAATCCTATTTTATAAATTTGCTCAAGTGTGAGTGAATTTAAGTCAATATTAGAAATCTCACATTGGATAAAATTAGATTTAATGACTAATATAAAATAAAGAGAAATGATTCATAAACTTAATATTTTGAATTAAGATCTGGGGCTAAGATGCACATTTCAAGAAGTTGATAGGATAAGATTGAATTATATTATTCACCCTAGCTAATAGCATGCTTAACTTTAGGTCTACTTGTTTTTTTAAAATAGAATAAATAGATGATAGGTGAATACAAAGGAAATAATTCAATACAAGCACTATAAGATTAGAAGCGCACGCTTAGCAATTAGAGTTATTGTACGTATGGTAAAAAAATGTTTGGTTTCTATTTTTAAAAGCAGTTTTTTGTTTTTAAAAGTTAAAAATATATTTGGATGATTGTTTTGAATCTAATTTTTTTCAAAACTATTCTAATTTTTAGTTATCACATAGGCTCAGACTTATTTGACACCCCTAATCACTATCTACTGATTTTTTAATTCTAAAACTGTTTTTAAATTAATTAACACAACCAAAAAGATTTGCTTTTCATTGGGTTTTGGAAAACAATTTTAAAAATTGTATTGTAAAATAATTTTAAAAACAAAAAAATAACAAACAAAATAAGCCCTAAGAATGAAATTGTTGTGCTCAGAGCATGAAAAGAAGAAACTGTGTCATGGAATAACACAGTCCTACTCAATAATTAATAGGTGCATCTCATATTTCTGACAGATTAATTAAAAAAATCACAAAAGTTAAGAACACATAGTACTTTGTCAAAAAAACTAACCTTATTCCAAATAGAAAAAAATATGAAAGAACTAACCTCGGTCAAATTTAGAAGAGCTAATCAACTGGAAAGACACGCCTTGGCCTAAACACTCACTGGCACGATCCAACAAAGACACACCAACGTCAGTCAAATCGAAGGTGTTTTTCTTCTTCACTAACACCACTGTCCCTTGGATCTGTTTGTCCTTGTTGCGCCCTAAAAGCCCAGACAACATTGTTACCTTCTTCACTCCAACACACTGAAAAAGTGAAGGAATTAAGCTGCAGCTGGAAGAAGAGTAATCACAGGTCGCAAGTTGATAAGATTCGGAGGGTATTAATAGAGAAAGAGAGAGAGTTACAGGTCCAATATATAGGGAGAGAAGGGGGGAGGGAATGAGAGTGAGATAATGCCTTCGGTGGATATTGAAATATCGCAACACCTTTAATTATTTTATTAAGTTCTTGAAAATTAAGCCTGAGTCATTTACTCCTCTGTCCGTCTCTATGTATAAGATATTGTTAGCATATTTTTTAATGAATAGACTATTGTACACTTATTAAATTGAAAAGAGAAAAAGATAAGTACTCAAATTAATTTACTTAAAAAATAAATTTATTTTTATTTACAATAATTATAGTTAAAATTAAAATGTTATTATACTTTTAATTAAATAACTAATTTTTATTAATTTAGGATATTAAGTTGAAAATAGTTTTAGGGATGGAGAGAGTAAACAGTTATCCCAACTCCTAACACCCATTGGATTGCTGTCTGGAAGGCAATAAAAAAAAAAGACCAGATAGACTCGCCGAAAATATATTAATGAATTAATTAACCAGGTAATTATTTAATTTTGAAGACCTGTCTTTTGCGATCCGTGTGCATTTATGATTCGCTGTCTAATTTTTCAAAAAGGAAAACGGGGTCTTGTACTATTAGCTTGGCTGTAGCTAAGATGTAGCATTTATATATAAAAAAAATGGATAATATATTTTTAGAAAAACTTGTGTGACCTAGTCAAATTTTGAATATAAAATGCTTTACTGAAATAGTCTCTTTTTTAAAAAAAGAAAACGTGGAGCAGTTATCTTGGGTATTGAAATCATATATCATCTCACAGTCGATGTTCATCTTTCCAAATATTGCTGGACCGCTAATTACTTTCTTGAAAATTAACCTCGAGCCAATTAAACAATTGTCCCAACAACCATTATGTTGCTTTCCAGCAAATATGGCAATATAGAAAAGACCAGATAGAGTCGCCGAAAATATATTAATAAATTAATTAACCAGGTAATTATTTAATTTTGAAGTCCCATCTTTTTGCGACTCGTGTGCATATATGATTTACTGTCTAATTTTAAACCCTTATGCAAATAATTTTTTTAATTTAATGTTTTTATTTTGAAAACAGAAACCACCATTAAAATTGCTTTCGTGTATTGAATGCTTCAAATAGCTGTAGGTGTGATAATTAAGCATGGATACCAAGTAAGTACTGTTTTTTTTTTTTAATTAACCATGTCCATGGGCATGATGTAACGCTGCTCACGTCATGTTTCATTGGTGTTTGTCCACCATGGATCATGTGATGAACAGAGTTCTATCCATAACATGTTGCCTTTATTTATTTATTTTTTATCAAAAGTGTGAACATGTGAACTTTAATAGTGTAGCTTCAGGGTGAGTTTCCATGGCAATGCCGGAAAATTCAGATATTCATACTAGCAAACAAATTGTTTGCAATTAAACTTGCAGAAGTGTGACCACATGATGTAATCCAGATTAATTTTCTCATAAACACAATAGTCTGTATCAAAGATATCATCAACTATAGAAACTTCATTTGTCAGCCATCGGACGAAATTGAATTGTTTTTCTGTAAAAAGCCAATAAAGAGAAAATATAATTGTTGTTCAGTTATCAACCATTACATGAAGACTTAAAACTATGTCTATTTGCTTTCTCCATCTCCTGTCTTCTAGTTTCTTTCTAGCCAATTCTCCTTCCCAACTAAAAAAATCATGACTTTTTTCCTAAAATGTTATGACTTTAAGATCCTTAATTTGTTGATTGTATGATTAATGTTCGTAGAAGGTCCTTAAATATCACTTTATTAAAAAAAAAATTAGTTGTAGAAGAAAAGATTGACCACTCCACCAATCATTCAACCGTCAAATTGGGATTTACCTTTTGAATTATTATGTGATGCTTCTAATTATGCTCTTGGCGCAGTGCTTTCACAAAAGTTGATAAGAAATCACATGTCATAGCTTATGCTTCCAAAACTTTAGATGCAGCCTAAGCCAACTATACTACCACTAAAAAGGAGCTTTTAGCTATTGTTTTTGCATTAGATAAGTTTAGATCATATCTTTTGAATGCAAAAGTTGTTCTGTTTTCTGATCATGCAGCATTAAAGTATCTCTTAAGGAAGCCAAATGCAAAGCCACGATTAGTCAAATGGATGCTCTTGCTACAGGAGTTTAACTTAGAGATAAAGGATAAGAGTGGAGCTAAGAATTCTGTCGCAGACCATTTGAGTTGCATTGAATCTCCTATGATTCCTTCTATTCCTATTGATGATAATTTTCCTGATGAATGCTTATAAGCTATGCATGATGTTACTCCTTGGTATGCTGACTTAGTCAATTACTTAGTTGCCTCTGCATTTCCTGTGCATTTAAAGAAACATCAATTAGATAAGTTTAAGAGGGAAGCTAGATATTACATTTGGGATGATCCATACCTTTGGCGCATATGTAGTGACCAGATTATTAGGAGATGTATTCCTGACATTGAGTTTGAATCCATATTGCATTTTTGTCACACACTTGCTTGTGGAGGACACTTTGGTCCACAACGCACTGCTAGAAAGGTTCTTGATTCTGGATTATACTGGCCTACTCTATTTCATGATGCATATACATTTTGTAAGCATTGTGCTAGATGTCAGTATACAGGAAATATCTCCCGTAGAAATGGGATGCCTCAACAACCTTTACTTTTCTGTGAAATATTTGATGTATGGGGTATTGATTTCATGGGACCTTTTCCTGTTTCATTTGGATTTGCTTACATTTTACTAGCTATGGATTATGTTTCTAAGTGGGTGGAAGCTAAAGCCACCAGAACTGATGACTCTGTTGCTGTTGTAGATTTTGTTAGGTCACATATCTTTTGCAGGTTTAGTATTCCAAAGGCCATTATCAGTGACCAAGGGACCCATTTTCGTAATCGAAGCATGCAGAGTTTATTAGGTAAGTATGGGGTTGTGCATAAGATGGCTACCCCTTATCATCCCCCAAACTAATGGGCAAGCTGAAGTCTCTAATCGAGAGATAAAGCAGATTCTTGAGAAAACAGTGCAACCTAATAGGAAAGACTAGAGTAAGAGACTTGATGATGCATTGTGGGCATACAGAATTGCCTACAAGACTCCAATCGGAATGTCTCCTTATCGGCTTGTTTTTGGGAAAGCTTGTCACTTACCTGTGGAGATTGAGCATAAAGCTTATTGGGCAGTAAAGCAGTGCAACATGGATTTAACTAAAGCAGGAGCCCAAAGAAAATATCAATTGCAAGAGCTTGAAGAATTTCGCTTGGAAGCATATGAAAATTCAAGAATCTACAAGGAAAAGACCAAGTTAATGCATGATAAGCTGATAGTTAGAAAAGAGTTCAAGGTGGGACAAAAAGTGTTTCTCTATAATGCCAGATTGAAACTTATGTCAGGAAAACTTTGTTCTAGATGGGAAGGTCCTTTTATAGTTGTTAAAGTGTTTTCTTATGGTGGAGTAGAGATTATGGTAGAATCTACTGGAGCAAAGTTTAAAGTTAACGGGCATCGGTTAAAGCATTTTTATGATGGATTTGAGACACACATTGTGGAGGAGTCTTCCCTCCAAGATAACACTTAATCGATCAGGTTGCATCATTTCTCTTCACTTTTAATTTACATTTTCCTATACATTTTTCAAACTATGTTCTACATTGAGGACATCGTAGATTTTAAGTATAGGGGGAGGTTTTTTGCTGTTTCTAATTTTTTTTTTCTTGTTTTCATTTTTGTTATTTTTGTGTTCTTGTTTTCAAAATAAAAATAAAAAAATAATTTGTACGAAGTTGCAAATTTAAGACAATTTTAGTTTGGATACATTTGAGCATGATAAATAATTGATCTTATGTTTGAAATTTAAGTTAAGTGGCAATGAATTTGGTTTCATTGAATTAATGTAATAGTCTTTAGCTTGTGAGAATTTGGGCCTAATATTATCCTCTTCTTGTGTGTATTCTCCTATCACTACTCTCACTCTAAAACTTGTCTTGATTCTTAATTGAGACTATAATTGTATATGCTTTGCATGAAGATGATTTAGACATTCTTTTTTTAGCCTACTTAATCAAATAGCCATCCCATGCAATTTATCCCTTGTTAGCCCTTTGAGCCTAAACCTTTTCTTTAAAATCTTAGCCAATTGAAAACATAACCTATAAAAATATTTTCCTTTCATTCTTCTCACCCCACTTTAGGTGATGGAAAGTGTATTATAATATTTGTTGGAATGAAAGAATATGCTTGAAGAGAGATTTGGGTTATTTTAAAAAAAAAACAAGAGAGAAAAGAAAAGCAAAGGAAGAAAGGAAGAAAAAAGAAGAAAGAGCATAAAAGTCAGAACGTAACAAAAATAAATAAATAAAAAGGCACATGAAGCAAAGGAAAGGAAAACAAAACAAAGAGAGAAAAATAAACCCAAATCAATTTATTTTGTTTCTTTCATTCTATATATTTCGTTTCAAATATGCTTTTCATTATCCTAAAGTTTATTAGCCGTCATTTTCCTATTTTTATACCATACCTTTACCTAAGGCTCATTACAACCTAAACTAAAGTCCTATTGATTCTTGCATTGCATATGACATAAATAGTGAAGACCTAGATGATAAACAAGCCTATGGTAGTGAGGTTTTAATAGGGGAACTTGAGTGAAACACTTACCTATATATATTTGAGAGTTGAGAGTTAAACACTTGACCTTTATGAGGGACTATTGCTTAATTTATTCTTACCAAATGAAATTGCCATGATACTTGTTATTTTGGATATAAGAGATATTGATTAGAGTGTTAAAATTTTAAATAGCTATGATTGCTTCTTATTCTTTGTTGCTTCCACATTTCTTTTCTTGAATTTTGAGATTTAAGTTTTGCCCAGGAGTACAAAAGTCTAAGTGTGGGGAAATTGATAAATGACAATTTTATATATTTTATCCTTTTAATTTAGACTTTTAAATATTGATTTCAAGCTAATAGAGTTTAATTAGATATTATTAAATTTTATTAGCCAATATTCAGTTTTGGAATTTTAACTAACTAAATCTTTGATTTTAAAATATAAACAATATCTTTAATATTTTTTGCACAGGTGCTATTTAATTTTATTTTATTTGTGTAGATCTTCTAAATTCAATTTGAAAGATATTGATAAAGAACATATTGGATAAGAAGAATATGGGCATGCTTGGAGATCAAATCAAGAATTAAATTTTAGAAATTTCGTTTATATTTATCTTGGGTCTTTTAGTGTAGTTTTCATTTGGGGTTATTTAAGGTATTTTATTTTTTTATTAAATTATTAAGTTTCAAGTTGGAAGAGGCGTACGAACACAGCACAGTGCATATATATAAAGCAAGCCGCACGCACAGGGAGAAGGATCCATTCAATATAAAAAAGGGAATAGCACGCACAGGAGGAGAAAAATCACGATTTTTTTTACGGAGAAGAGAAGAAAGGACAGTGATCGCAGTTCAATTTTTTTCCTTTAATACAGGCAATGGCCTCTCTTATTTTTATCTCATATTGTTTGATTTTTAATTCTATGGATAGCTAATTTTTTTTGGTGCGATCAATCATAAACTATGATCTTAAATTTTAATCAGAGTCCTTAATATTTAGAGAAAATTTTATTCTAGCTTTATTTCAATTTGCTCTTCTTCTTTCTACCTCTAAATGTTATGCTTTAATTGCTATTGCTGATTGGAGTAGTTTTATTGCATAATTTTTGAGTTATAAATTTTATCTGAGGTTTTACTTGCTATAATCGATTGATATAGCATTGTAAGAGTAATTTGGCTTGGCTTGGGTGATTATCCATGCTTTGTTTCTACAAAATTTAGTTCGTCTCTCTAAGAGTCAATAGAGTAACTATTTGAATTATAATTATGAAAAGCTAAAAAATGGGGGTTTTTATAATGAAATTAAAAAAAATTTAAATTAAAATTAGATAAATAAAGAAAATTCAATTGAGAAAATTATCAAGAACAAGCAGTGCAATCAATCACAATCCAATCACCTAAATTTAATCTTCCTCGCCCACAATTTAAATTAATTTTATTTACCTTTATTATTCTGATTTTATTATATATTTCTCAAATTATCATTCAAGAATTAAAACAAGAGATTAAGTTATAAATTAATTGAGATCTCCTTTAACCCACAACGTAACAACTGTTCTATATTAGCCATACCAGAAACAAAGCATAGATAATCACCCAAGCCAAGCCAAATTACTCTTACAATGCTATATCAATCGATTATAGCAAGTAAAACCTCAGATAAAATTTATAACTCAAAAATTATGCAATAAAACTACTCCAATCAACAATAGCAATTAAAGCATAACATTTAGAGGTAGGAAGAAGAAGAGCAAATTAAATAAAGCTAGAATAAATCTTCTCTAAATATTAAGAACTCTAATTAAAATTTAGGATCATGGTTTATGACTGATTGCACCAAAAAAAATTAGCTATCCATAAAATTAAAAATCAAACAATATGAGATAAAAATAAGAGAGGCCATCGCCTGTATTGAAGGAAAAAATTGAACTGCGATCACTGTCCTTTCTTCTCCTCTCTGTCAAAAAAATCGTGATTTTTCTCCTCCTGTGCGTCCTCCTGTGCGTGCTATTCCCCTTTTTATATTGAATGGATCCTTCTCCCTGTGCGTGCGGCTTGCTTTATATATATATGTACTGTGCTGTGTTCGCACGCCTCTTCCAACTTGAAACTTAATAATTTAATAAAAAATAAAACTACCTTAAATAACCCTAAATAAAAACTACACTAAAATATCCAAGATAAATATAAACGAAATTTCTAAAATTAATTCTTGATTTGATCTCCAAGCATTCCCATATTCTTCTTATCCAATATGTTCTTTATCAATATCTTTCAAATTAAATTTAGAAGATCTACACAAATAAAATAAAATTAAATAGCACAGGTGCAAAAAATATTAAAGATATTGTTTATATTTAAAATCAAAGATTTAGTTAGTTAAAATTCCAAAACTGAATATTGGCTAATAACATTAAATAATATCTAATTAAACTCTATTAGCTTGAAATAAATATTTAAAAGTCTAAATTAAAAGGATAAAAATATATAAAATTGTCATTTATCAAGTAACTTATAAGATGTAAAATACTTGATATAAAATTAATTTTACTCTTATAATTACAATTATTTAAGCCTAATTTTTATAATTTATTTTTCAATAAATTTTTTTGAAGTGTAACTTCTCTGGTAAATCAATTTTTTAGGACTAAAGTTTAATGACGCATTTGGTTTCAAAACTATAAACTTTAATTTTTTGTGAAAGGTAAACTTTGGCCACCCTTGGTTATGGAAGAGGACGGCCTGTAAAATCTCTTTATCTTTAGTGAAAACGGCTAAAAATGGTCTTGAATTCTTGCTTGAAGACCAACTAAAAATATGAAGAAAAAGGAACCTGAAGGCAAATTAAAATGTAAAGCACAAAAAACAGACTGACTACTGAATCAGTTTAAGAGATCAGTCAGAGTAATGTGGTCCAATCAAGATCTGTTCGAAATTAATCAGATCAATCATGATTTAAATAACATTCATTTTATTGCATGGTCACTCCCATACACCCACACACACACACACACATTTATCAATCTTATATAACATAGACGTTCAATAGATTGCAAATTAAAAGCCATAGATAATGACATGTCCATCGAGAGCATGTCATCCAACAACACAACTTTATTCAATACTACTAGCTAGCATCACTCTTTCGTCATTCTCTTACAACACAGCAACGTTGCTTTATGATCACAGATCACCCACTTCCTCCTCCTGTTCCGATATTGATGATGATGTGGAGCTGAATAAACCAAAAAAAAAAATCAAATATTAAGTGATATGAGGAATGCTAAAGGAAAAAAAATAATGGTGGTCCGACGTCATGTGGGAAAGATTTGATTCTACTTAAAATTTAGAGAAAATCATAAGGGTAAATAAGCAAATTAGCCCCTAGATTATAAGTTAAGAAGCATCTAGGACCCTAAATTTATTTCCCTTGAACTTTTAAAAACATTGCAATTTGGCCTCTATTATTGACAAAAGTTAACTTTGATTGGTAGTTAATCAAAAATTGACAGAAAAGAACCTCAAAAATTACAAAAAATAACTAAAAAAAAACCAAAAATTACAAACAAAGACTCAAAATTATAAAAGGACAAGAAAATTTAATTTGGATCTTTTTGTAATTTTAGGTTTTTTTTAATTATTTTCTGATCAATTAACAGTTAAAAGTAACTTTTGTTAATAACAAGAGCCAAATTGTATCGTTTTCAAAAGTTTAATGTGAAAATTATACAGAAAATGAGTTTAGGGTGCCAAACGCACCTAAACCTATAATTTAGAAGCTAATTTGCTCAATTACCCAAAAAAATATTGGAAAAGCTATGCTAACCCAACTCAACTATGTCTAAATCTAATACGACAGGACCAAACATGTGGTAGTTGTATTATAAAAAAAAAAAGGAAAGTAATTTTCTTCATAAATGATATAATATTAAAGAAAATGTATATTAAGGGGAAATCAATTAAG